AAAAAAAAATTGGTATATAACTTCACAATTATGAAGTGTTGCAACCCAGAAAACTATAAACTTTATAGTTACTGCTTCTGAGAACCTCAAATCTCATAAGCATAAATGAGAACATCAACTTCCCTACACTGAGACAACACTAACCATGCAACTCTCTCTCAAATAGCAGTAGGTAAGTGCATTTTGCCAGCAGATCTCAGCAATATAGATATGAATTGACTCAGTCCTAATCATAACACAAATTTCTGTGCAATAGTGCAATGATATACTGAGGGTTTTTTGGTGCAATCAGTGCAGTTTATAAAAATAATACAACTCCTTGCTTACTCCATATGTTTACCTGTTAGACTTTCTGAGATGTTCAATTTCAACTTATTCCGAAATAAGTGCAATTTAATTTTTACCTTATATTAACAACACCACGATCAACAATATAGCTTTCAATGTATTACACTTCATAATCATACATATGCATTACATGCAAGCAACACCAGGAAGATCAGCTAGTGTCAAATAAATGTACCAGGTTTCAACCCTTAGCTGCATCAAATGCAGTAGAACACAGTCAATTAAATGAGATCCCCTGTTGTATCTTATCCAAATATAGTGTACAAAGGACACTTAATATAAATGATTTGTAAATGCCAGGACACAGTAAATTTAAGTTGCACAGCAAAGGGCTACGTAGAATAAAATGAAATTACAACATCCCTGAAAGTTCAGGTCATTGCTACCTGTAGAGTTGCTGACATTGCCTGCACGGCTGCGCCACTCTGGGTATTGCGTACTGTTGTACACACTGGAGGCACAGTTCAGAGTGAAGTTTTCCCCCTCCACCACACTGAAAGCATCCTCCCCATCCACCAACATGTCCTCAGGTTCCCCCCACAGATGTGGTGTCTTCCTGACACATGGATGATCTGAAAGTTATCAAAATAGGCTCTGATGTGACTGAAATAGTGCAAATAACTCTTATGTCGCTTAACCTTTAAACGCCGGAACTCTGAAATGGTGATAAGCTAGAGCTGGCGGGAGTTTATTTAAATGCCCGCTGCTGGTGTGCGTTTAAATGCCAGATGCTGCTCTGCATTTAAATGTCCGTTCCTGTTTGGGTGCTTAAACAATGTTAAGCATTGTGTTTAAAAATGCTGTATCTAACACAATTTTTATGATAAATGAATGGAATTAACTTTGTTTATATCAGCAAAGAACATAGTGTCACATATTATAACATAAGATTTGCAAATTTTTATTCAAAGAGTTACAGACTATTTTCATTTTTTTCTTTTAATTTTGATGCGTACTGTAAAAATGGTTTCCCATTTCTTCACAGTGTTGTTCTGCATACAACCACATAGCTTTGCTTTCAAGCAGTGAAAGAGAAAGAAATTGCATGGTGCGAGATCAGGTGAGTACAGAGGGTATGGCAAAATGGTATCCTGTTGCCTTCTCAGTTCCTCTTAAACAAGAAAAGAGCGATGTGCAGGGGCGTTGTCATGTAGCAACAGCCAATTCTTCCTACACCAAATATTTTGCTAGTGGATTTGCCTAGTTCTTGGCAGAACTTGATGTTTGCCCATTGTTCAAACTGCCACATTTTTTATTTCCACCACTTGGATTTAACTGCAGTTAACAATAGAGGTCATAGTTCTACTTACACTGTTTTCGCACAACTGCCTCTTGCTGTGACAAGAGATGAACTGACAGCGCATCATATCGTGCCTCAACCTATCCACTGTAGTGCACTGCAACGATTCTTTGTGGCCATTCCACGAACTTATTGACTGTGGTAGTATACAGTATATATACTTAAACTTACTACACACAGAGAGGATTTACAAAACTGCCACAATTTTCAAGTACAGATATTCCTTGTCTTATGCAGCAGGTTTCTTCAAAGGAAAAAAGAAAAGCTGTGTAGAGTGAAATTGCATAAATTGAGCATAGGAAAATAGTATATTGAATTGCCCCCAAGATATCCTGGAATGCTGCATGTAGTAAATTTTACTTAAACTTAAGAACCACAACTTACATTACTCACCTGAGACATAGAGCTTGAGGGAATCACTTCCACTTCCAAAGGAGTTGCTGGCAGCACATCGGAGTATTCCCTGTGTACTTTTGAGTGAGAAATTGAACATATCATATGCTTCCATAGAGTTATTCTCCATAGTAGTGAGCTGGAACACAACGTTCGTCATTTATTATACAAAACGTAACATACAGGGACTCTGCTTTAATAGTTTCTGGTGTCAACTGACAAAACTGAATCTAATCTAGAGTGAATCATCTTTCACAGGAAAGGAAATTAAGTACTTTAATATCAGTACATTTGGTCATCGACTTATGACCAACTTCCAGTCTGACTGACAGGTCGTAAGTCGATCTGGTTGTATGTTGGCCATATATTTATTAACAGTATTTTTTAACCTTTCTAATCTTTTTATCATCTTTATAATTTATTTTTAAAAACTCTTACATTTTAATCATCTTTTATTTTTCATCTTTTTGTGGTCGTAAGTGCGGCCAGTCATAAGTCACATAGGTCATAAGTCGACGTCCAAGTGTAGTGACAACTGATTCTGTTTTGTTCAGTGAACACAAGAGAAGTGAAATGCACTACATGTTGACAGCTCCAATCAGTAATCTATTTTCGAAAGAATTCATCAAACAGTATGTGTTATAATAAGTCTGTAACTAATATAGGATTTTAATGAATATGCCCTAAAAATTAATATGACTATAACGGAGAAAAGAAAAAGGAATTTGATGATGATCGAAAGGAAATTTGACTTTATACAGGTTAAGAATGCATACAACTAAATGATGACACATTTATTGTCAAAATGTCTGAGTATATGAAGATTGTTTAATTTACTTTAGGTTTACACTACAACATACCCAACAGTAACCTAAATTTTACCACTTGAATTACATAAAAGAAATTACTTTCTTAAGGCACAGTGGTGGTAACTGTCACTGCCAAATTTATAACATTTAGTAACTTCGAATTTTGCCCATAGATTGCATTTATGGCCTTCATTTGATTCTTTGAATAAACATATATGCAGTAAGAATTTTCAGAATCATAAAATAAATTGTTAGATATTATTTAGTTAAACTTTTTTTTAAGATTAATACATTTAAATAATTTTAATGGACAGAATTTTACATGTAATTATCTATTAAGTGACAGTTACACAGGTCACTTTTCTCTGAATGAGAAATGGGAAGAGCATAGGAATATTAATTTAGGAGGAAACTATTTTCATCTCATATGTTTACCATCTCAATTGACTGAGGCCATGATAAGTCAGTCCCTTATCACCATGGCATGACACATCCTCAGGTTGCAGGTGGAGGAGACAGCCTCCAGATATGGATGGTAGCTGCGAATATACTGAATAAGCAGTCTCAGACACCTGATAAGGAGTGGTCATCCAGCTTTGGGTTCGGGCGTGGGACTACCAACTCACAGTAAAACATAATTTTGTTACAAAATGTCACAAAGGGCTTTTGACTTGGACGGGTTCTTTGAATAAATGACCTAAGATAAAACAATGTATTTGATATTTGGTACATGGAATGTAAAGTGTCTGTGTAGAGTAAGTTCACTAATGACACTACTGATCAGATTTTGGCATTTGTAAGATACCGAGGAAAAAAAGGAAGTACAATGAGACAGCATATCAGCTATTCATAAACTTCAAGAAAGCCTATGATTCAGCTAGGAGGGAATTATTGCACAATATTCTCACAGAGTTTGGGGCACCCATAAAACTAGTAATGCTGATTAAAATGTGTTTAAACAAAACTTATAGTAAAGTATATACAGGTCTACATTTGTCTGATACATTTTATATACAAAAGATCTAATATAAGGAGATGCTTTATTGCCACTGCTTTTCAACTTTGCTTAAGAATATGCCACTTGGAAGGTCCAGGAAAACCAGGAGGACTGAAATTAAAAGGGATACATCAGCTCCTGGTATATGCTGATGATGTAAATCTACTGAGAGATAACATAGATACAAGAAAGAAAAACACAGAAATTCTAATTGACACCAGTAATGAGGTTGGTCTAGAAGTAAACCCAAAGGAAACTAAGTATATTTTTGCTGCCTCATCATCATCATGTAGGGAAAAATTATGACATAAATGTGGCACATTTCAAATATTTGGGAACAACAGTAACAAATTTAAACTTTATTCAGAAAGAAATTAAGAGGACATTAATTCAGGTAATGTTCACTACCATTCAATCCAGACCCTTTTCTCTTATTATGTACTGTCTAAAAATGTGACAATTAGAATATACAAAACTATGATTTTGCCTGTGGTTTTGTATGGGTGTCAAATTTTGTCACTGACATTAAGGGAGGAACATAGGCTGAGGGTGTTTGGGAATAGGATATTGAAGAGAATACTTGGATTAAAGAGGGATGAAGTACTCATAATAGAATATTAGAGAAAACTGCATAATGAGGAGCTTCATAACTTGTAGTCTTCACCAAGTGTGATTAGAATGATCAAGCCAAGGAGGACAAAATGGGCAAGACACGTAGCACAAATGGAGAGAAGAAGAATGCATATAGGATTTTGATGGGAAAGCTAGAAGGAGAAACACAACTAGGTAAACCTAGACATGGGTCGGAAGCTAATATTAAAATGGATCAGAGAGAGATAGGATGAGGTGGTATGGACTGGATTGATCTAGCTCAGGATAGGGATCAATGAAGGGTTCTTGCTTGTGAACATGGTAATGAACCTTCATGTTCCATAAAATGTTTGGAAATTCTTGAGTGGTTTCTCAAAAAGGGCTCACCTCAGTGGAGTTAATTATTTTAGTTAAGTGAATGAGGATCAACACCCAGGATAGCCATTTTGACTGAGGGAAATTCTGAAGGTTTCTGATGGTGGTGTATAACATTTTGGACTACTGGGCTTTCAGACTTTGCCCGTGGTCCGCTATCTTAAAGAACAAAAAGAAAAAGAAACAGCGTTTCAGAACTAGATCTGTTTCCATCTTCAGGTGTCTTTATCCACTCGTGTGATGATGGAAAGAGATCCATTGTCTGAAACAGGCTGTCTGTTTTTTGTTCTTTAAAATATCAGACTGTGGACAGGTTCCAAAAACCCAGTAATCCTTTGAGTGTGGGAATTTGAGCCCTCCAAATTCTAAATAAGAAACTGGAATGTTATTCACCATAACTTAAAGTTGGATTTAGTGCATACAAATTCACCTTTCAATGTACATAATGCACATAAATAATGCCACTATTTTTACAACATCTTAGAGAAGTCATTTTATTGTTAGGAAATTATATGTCAAACTTCAGTGTGTAGACATTTAAAACAGCCTAATCTTGAAGATTATAAATGGTGCTAAAGGAAATGTGATATCAGTAAGGTTTAATCACTTGTGAACTGATAACATACAAGATTAGGGACAGTACAATGTGGGATGGCAAACTGAGTTACTTACGAGTGGTTGCATGGAGTTTCTTTCACCATCACAGTCACCTGGTTTTCTCAGGTCACAGGATCTGAAGAACCAGTTGACTATTACTGGCTTTGGACTCCACACTACACAGCTGAAATTGGCTATAGAGTCCAAAGGAAGCAGACCTAGATCATGATTCAGAGAGGCATTTGGTTTATCTGGAATTAAAATTGCAACAGGGTAATTATTTCTTTTGGTACACTCTACAGTTTTACTAATGTTAAACAGATTAATATTTCAGTAGTTGAGTCATATTTACAAAATATATTCTGGCACATCTGTGGTACAATATGAATATCAGGATGTGTGTGTGTGTTTGCATGTGCACAATGCATGTGTGCGCATTTGGGAGGAAGCAGAAGATATTTTCTTTGAGGATAGAGAAGTGGTGATCTCAGTCTCATCCAGCCGGTCCTAGTTTTGATATCTTGGAAGATCCGAGAACAGATTGAGGTCTTCAGTTTTGATGTAACTTTAGCTATGAAAATGTGAGAAAATCATATCAACACCATATTTCAGATGCCAGCTTCAAACTATCATGCCTAACTAACTATTTTTGTTATTGCTAGTGGGGTGGGACTAAGTCCCTTGTACTGCAGCCACTTCTGGCCTATTGTACCAGCCCCAGATGATAGGTGAGGGTGATTGTGGAGCAATTGATGGAATGAAGATTGGCAGGGGAAACCGGAGTACTCGGAGAAGACCTGCCCCAGTGCCAATTTGTCCACCACAAATCGGGCCGCCACAGTGGGAAGCCAGCGACTAACCGCTTGAGCTATGGCGCGGCCTAACTAACTAACCAACCATAGTGCTGAGCATATCTTGAGTAGCCACCAGTTACACAGCTACTCAAGAATTTCAAAAACATTTTATGAAACATGAAGGTTTGTTACTGTGTTTGCAAGAGCCCTCCACTAATCCTTATCCTGAGCCAGATCAATCCAGCTCATATCATCCCATCCTATCACTCTAAGATCCATTTTAATATTAGCCTCTAGTGGTCCCTCTCCTTCTAGCTTTCCCACCAAAATATTATGTGTATTCCTTTTCGCACCCATGCATGCTACATGTCCTACCAATCTTATGATCCTTGACTTGATCATACTAATTACACTTGGTGAAGAGTACAAATTATGAAGTATCTCATTATGTAGTTTTCTAACCATCATGTCTAGGTCTTGAAATTTTACGTGTATATACTCCTGAATAACATAACCTTCTGCAATGTTATGCCATGTACTTTTGTAGACTGATACCAATATTTTGGAAGAACCTACTACCTCCATCTTTAGCAGAAGAAGTTGGAGGCAACTGGTTCCATGTAGCTCAGTAGGTACATTATTAACTTTTCTGAGAAATCTGCTGCTGCATCTTCTTCTGTCCACAAAATTGGAGGCAGAAAACTCTTCTGAAATGTTGGTTACTGTCTACCAGAAGATTAAATATTAATTAATTAATTAAATATACCCTGCCATGCAAATAGTATATTTCACAAACATAATTCTGCTCACCAAATTGAAAATATATTTGCCATTTCCAAGCTCCTTAAAATATTTCTCATTACTATTTATATTATTTTGTAAGGGCCAAGAAGAATGAGATGGACAGGGAATGTAACATGAATGGTGGAGAAGAAGAATGCTTGTAGGATATTAGTGGGAAAGCCAGAAGGAAAGAGACCACTAGGAAGACCAAGATGTAGGTTGTTGGATAATATTAAAATTGATCTTAAGAGAGATATGATGGGATGGTATGGATTTGATTGATCTGGCTCAGGATAGGGACTAGTGGAGGGGTCTAGTGAACACGGTAATGAATTTTCGGTTTCCATGAAATGCTGGGAAGTTCTTGAGTAGCTGCACAATTGATGGTTTCTCAAGGAGAGGCTCAGCTCCATGAGCGAGTGATTATTTTGTAAGGTCCAGTCCTTCAGCCAGGTCTGTCAACATTGCTAACAGAATATGTCAGATTCCTGATATTTTTAATAGGAATAAAAATTTCTCTGGAGAATATACTTACTTTGCATAATTCTAATTAAATTATTATCTTCTTTTTATGTTATCCTTATGTTTCCTTACATTTGATATGTATTTTAATGTCTGCCTGCAACAGGACAGTTTTTCTGTCAAGCACTCTAAAATGAACTTAATTTAACACCATCACCATGACTACTACTTGTAACAACTTATGTTTAAATTTGAATGATATTAAGCGATTTAGCTTTTTTCTTGTTTGTTTGTTTTTGTTTACATGTACGTGCTAGTTTTGTTTTGTATTTGTGTTGAATCTGTAGTTGGTCCCTGGCTGTTGAGTTTAGTATATACATTAATAAAGAATTAAGAATTATTATAGACTATCATGAATTTTTCACCCTTCTTACAAATGAAAATAAAGATATTTAGGTACTGTCACTGAGATATCTATCAAACATTCTCTCAACACAAGAACAATATCAAGACATGTTAAAATTTTAATTGCATATACTTTATTTCAAAGTACAGCAATTTATGCAATTATCACTACTTATGCCTCTCAACCATTTTAGTTTTCTTTATCTGGCAACGTGTGATTGACATAATAGAAAAAAGCTTCTGTTTTTATAAATATTGAAACAGAAATACTACATTGAATTTCTGCCTACGTGTTCACACAATTCACTTGCTTCAGATTTGCAGGTGACTACTTTCCAAGCCCTGGTCTTCCCCACCATCATCCTATCATTTGGAGTATGGTAATTAAACCTGGCTCACAGTACTCTCATCTTACAAAGAGATGCAATTGTCCCACCAGATGGACATGGCTTAAGACAAACAGTGTTTAGGTTCTCACCTTGGACAATTACCAGCCTGTTGAGAGATACTTTGCCATTACTGTTATATGCATCAAGACTGTATTTTCCTGCATCACGAAGGTCTAGATTAAACACTTTCAAGATGGCCTGATGATTTCCAGATTCTATACCATATTTTTCCACATCTGGGTGCAGTTGAATGCCTCGTGGACCATACCAGTTCAATGTCACATTTTCAGGTGAAAAGACATTTACCACAATTTTCAATTCCTTAGTCTGCCTGACTTGTACCAAGATTGTCTCACTGGAATCAGATTTTAAGGTTATGCCCACTTCTTTTTCTCCTACAAAAAATAAAATATTCAAAATTTAGTACATTGAAGGAGAAATTAACTAATGTGTTCAACAATTTCGGGCTTGATTAAAAGTGAAAGGCAGTGGTACACTACATTTGGATGGCACTGGCAAATTCTGAGACATTGGGCAGACTTAGCGCAAATACTTCCTCTCACCTTTCTACAGACAGTATTAATATTTTCTATGTCAAATGACCAAATTCACTGAACCCTGATGTCATCACACTATTATTATTAATGCCCAGCATTAATTATTTTGTGTCAATGCATGGCAGAAGACATTTCATTTCATTATATTCATTTTACAATGTTAAACGCAACATTCTCCTTTTTTATATTATGAAATAATTATGAATATATATTTATAATTTATGGGAAAGAGCACTAACATGAAAGGTAAAGTTGTACCTGTCCTTAAATAACTAAGTGCTATGTTATGAAGTATATGGAGGGTGGATATATAGATCCATGAATTTTGACCTCAGCAATAAAGAACACTAATATATAATTTTAAAAAGCAGAAGAATATGTTGGACATTACTCGTAATGAATTTTTACACATTTATAGATAGTATAACAAAGTTAACAGAGGGATGTAGATATGTAACTGATCACTTTCTGTAGATTTAAATCAGTCTGAATAATAAGAGGGCAAAGGAACTGGAACTTTGAATTCATAAAAAATTAACTATACGTTTTTTAACAAATGTCATTACAATTTTTTGGGTAAGCCCTGTATATCTCCAGAATATGAGGATGATTTATTTTATGTTAGTAATTCGGGTTGAAGTGGTAGTCCTTGAAGCACACAAAATTACAGGCATTGACTGTAGGATACAGTGTAACATGTGTCTAATTGTGGACACTTCTGAATAGTTTTCTAAGAAATAAATTGTTCAAATTATTGCCAAAGTTACAGTGAGCAGTCTTGGTTGGGAACCAACTAAGAAGCAATGTATACCATAGAGAAAGTGTGATGTTTCTGTCATAACAAGAGGTAGGACACACTTTATTGCTACAAGAAATGTCATTTCAGTCCTTAATGTTTTGAGAAATACCATACAGAAGTAAACAGCTAAAAAAAAGTCATATTCCTGCATGGGTATAAAATATATTTATTGGAAGATCTTTTGAAGCTTAATTTGAAGATCATCCAGTTTTAAAAGTATATGGTGGCATTGATATGTTTGTGTGTAGTACAGTAGACCCTTGTTTTTNGCTAAAAAAAAGTCATATTCCTGCATGGGTATAAAATATATTTATTTGAAGATCATCCAGTTTTAAAAGTATATGGTGGCATTAATATGTTTGTGTGTAGTGCAGTAGACCCTTGTTTTATGCTGGGGTTAGATTCCTGGAGATCTGGGGGAACATCAAATCATCATAAATGAAAGATTAATTATAACATATTTCAGTTGGATGCATTCCAGGTGCACAACAACTGAGATTCTCTTTCTTAAAACAACACATTTATATATTTTAAGCATAAACATTATATACATGGATTTATACCACATTTATCCTGCAACGAATTACGAATATGTAGGTGTTACTGTTACTGCTTGTGGTTCATCAGTGTCGACTGAATCTCCTTCTCTCATCTTTGGAGCAATTGGGAGTTCTTCAGATTTCTTCTTAAGATAAGAAATGAGGGTTGTTTACTTTGCTTGATGCTGCCTTTCCTGCAGAACATGGCAGTAGGGCTGTGGCACTTCACCGACACTTTTCTTAATAGAACTGCTCTATTCCCCATCAGAATCAATGTCACATAACTTCTGCAGGTACCTATCAATTCAAATCAGAATTTCCTGCAGGTTGTGTTTCTATAGACCATAAAATAGCCTCTTCTTGTTCTTGCTGCTACTGTTTTTGAGTCAGTTGTGCAGCCAAATCTTCCAGTTCCACATTTCAAAGAAGATGAGAATGGATCTCCAGAATTTTAGGAGAAAACAAAGGAAATTACTTAAAAATATTCAAACTGACAGATATTTGAATTGGCATATATCAAACAGTTTTAAACCAAAGACCCCCTGCATTTTAATGTAATGTAAACATTTGAAAAAGAAGGAAGTTTTCATATAATATATTCTTGTGGTGATTTATGTGAAATGCGGCACTTCCCAGCTTAAAATGTAAATTACATTCATCCTCTGTGGAGGGTCATACTGCAATATCGTAGAGCAGTAAATAATTAATATCCTGTCTAAAGAACAATGGACACTGGAATTAGAGTGGACCTCTTGATAAAAAGCAGGTGTCACAGGTACCCACATTACAAGCTACCATGCTTTAAAGAGAAACTGACTTGTAACCAATTTTGAATCACTGTTATTATATACACACTATTAATTCAGTGACTAAATTGTATGTGCCCACAGGAAGTTTAAGACACATATCAGTCTTGCACTGCACCAGTGATACTGGCACAGATTGCTGTAAATTACTTACATTTACATAAAATAGATGTAATCATACTGGAGAACACAATTAAAGTTGCAATGTATCCAAATTCACAAAATAATCAAAACATGATATAATGAAGGCTTACTGTATCTAATATAATGGGTGCTAAAATGTAATTATTTCACTTTTAAAGACTGCAACTGCCTAGCTGTCCCTGACTCTCATGGGTTCTGAACTACTATTGAAAACAACCAGGCAAGCTACCTCAAGAGCTGTCACTATATAGCCTGCTATATAGTCTGCTACATAAAAAACACTGCCCCCAGAAGTTTTACTAATCTATTTGCAGGATGCTGCCTAGCAATGGCTCACGTGTTTGTCAAGCCAGCCTCACACAACAGAAAATGTTTAAGTAATCATGTCACATTACGGTATCTATTTAACAACAGAAAACTAACAACCTGAGTTTGACTCATGGTTCCTGTGGAAGGTCAAACAGCTACTCACAGCTGATTTATTATCTTAGCACTATGGTCATTGATACACATGTTGTAGTGTTGTCCCTGTGCTTAATTAATTAAGCACCATGCAATGAAGACCTGTCGGGGAGGAGATATTGCTCCACTATTGCTGACCTTGGCATTAGACAGAGGTGAGTGGTCTGCTTCAGTCCCTGGGGAATGAGCAGATAGGAGGCAGGGTGGGCCCAGAGCCAGTCTGGATAATTTAAAGGATATAAAAAAATCTCTGGCCCCTGCCAGGAATTGAACTCAGACTTTTGAGCGCATGGTCTGTCACTATACCAGCTGAGCTACCCCAGCTTTCCTGGTAATTGACACACACACACACACACACACACATATATATATATATATCAGATAATGCATTGTGTCTTTCAGAATGTAAAGGATTAAAATAAAACTCACCAATCACTTCAACTGTTCTAGTTTTTTTTTTCTTATTATTGTACTTGTCCTTTATCACACATGAATAGTTGCCGCCATCATCCTCTGTCACATTTTTGATTCTGAGAACTGTCACTATACAGTCATAGCCATGCTCAGTGCAGGATTTCTGTGATGCGTTAAGCTGATGAAATAATGGATGGTGAATTAACTTTGTCATTTTATACGTCTTAATACTGTTAAGAATGAGAACCTTAAAAATATACAATCTTTCAACTGTATTACAAGCAGGCATCTGCCCCCTAGGATAAATGAAACAAAACAAAATTGAAGAAAAGGAAAAATATACCAAACATTAATAATAAAAATTTACTCTTCTATGCTGAATAATCTAGGGAAATCGGTAACAACGATCATAAGTAGCTTAAATATAAATTTGTAAGCCAATATTCAGGCTATAATCCCACTTCCTCCCCTGAAAAGGATCCTGGTGATGTCCATGGGAGGAAACTCACTGGAACTCAGTTTATCTTTTCTTCTGATTCTTGTAATAGCAGTCCATATTGCTACAAGCGCTATGTTCCAGAAAAGTGGAACAACTATTGAAGTTATGCCTGATTTTTATACAAATTATTTATTAAGTTTATTGATGTTTTGGTATTTTTGACTTTATAGACATTTTTCTTCAGTGGCGAGTAAATAATATATGAAAGAAAATGGAATGTCAGAGGCAAAGGAAGAAATGAACAAGTAAATAAACAAACGATGCACATACCAATTCCTTTGACTTATGCCACATGACCTGAAATTTTACTCCCTTTTGTGCAAATCCCTTGCATTCCAGAACCATGTCTTTCCCCTTCCTCACAACTCGAGGTTCTGGACCAGTGATTACTGGCTTCATCACATACATTCGCTTGCCTGCAATAGAATGCATGTATTACATGTCATGTATAAATAGACCTAAAAAGTACAATTATTGACTTTTCGGAGATTATTCGCTGTCCTGATTTTTATTTAAAAACATTTCAGAGACTGGACTCTGTCTTTATCCTCAGGTAAAAACTTACTCCCCAGTCACGGTAGCCGAGCGGTCTAAGGCATGCACTGTCTTCACTTGCTCGGAAGCCGGGATCGTGGGTTCGAATCCCACTCAGGGCATGGATGTTTGTGTGCGTTTTTCTGTGTTTGTCTACAGGTAGAGGCCTTGAGACAAGCTGATCACTCGCCCAAGGAGTTCTACCATATGTGTAAGATCTAGTAAAACTGAAGTGAAACGGAGAGTTTCATGGAGGTAGGCCTAGGCCCAAATTTGGGCTGTAGCGCCACGGGGGGGGGGGGAACCTACNAAAAAAAAAACCTACTCAGTTGGACCTAATTGGTAGAGATAGTCCCTGAGATCTTGTTTACATCTAAAAGGAATAAGCGTGCTATGCAATTTTCTTTAACAGTTTTAAAAAGTCATTATTATCACCACTACCATCACCATCATTTACTGCCTTTTCAGGATGAGTCATATTTAACAAATTCTTTTCTATTTGTTTCTGTCCTCCAGGGGTATCATCTTAAAAATAAAAAGTTTTTGTAGACCAGGCATCTGTCTCCCCCTGGATTTTTGGGAAAAATCTAATTGAAAAAGGAGGAAATCTACAAATTATTAACATCTGTAACCACACCATGCAGGGACCTCAGGAATGTTTTCCAGTTACATTGTTAATTACAATGCACTACATGGAAACGAAATGTAGTACTGTTAACAATAGATGATACACAATTGACTCCAGCACCAGCAGACGCCAAGGACAACATCCGGTCTTTCTGAGGGACAAGCAAACTGCAGGTTACTTGAAAACCCAGAACGGAGCAGGAAGTATCCCGCTGTGTTTTCTGGGGATTTCAATGCTTAACTTCGATGGTTCGAGTCTTTGAAAATCTGAGACTTGACAAGAAACGAGTCGCAATAATTTTCGAAGGGGCGTACCGAGCGATTGTTGGCATACCTCCATTTATCTAAGAGCTGTCAGAGGGACCGTGTTGTACTTAGGCCCAAATTAACATGGATCTGGTTAGGGATTGGCTGAATGCAAATGAAAGGAACACCCAAATTTGAGGTTCAGCCAATCAGCAAAATTTCAGAGGAGAGGAATCCAGGCGTTCCCGGAACCGTCGGGACTTCTGCCTCTCCAGAGCAGTCAGTTATTACAAGTTATTACAAGTCATTACAAGTCATCAGAAGGAAATAGCGGGAGTGAGTAGCCAAAGGGAACAACCGGAGTCAGTAGTAACCTCCCGGACGTTAAATCGGTGTTGGCCCTAGTCCAGTGTACAATTCAAAGTGCTACAGCCAGGTAATAGGTAATTGTAGTGAACATCTACAATAAACGCAACAGTGTTGGTGAAGGGTGTGTTTTCAGTGTTTTCTCTCTCCCTGCGTGAGCAAGGCCCATTAGTCGCCCTGAGACAGAATCTCGTCCTGCCGTCTGAGCAGTTGGAACCCCAAACGTCCCCCCCATCCAAATCCCCACCTTTGTTTTTCCCATTCAAAACTCGTGGATGTCATCCAAGTCCACTGGCACCCACACAAATCCAAATTCAGAATAATCCCACTCCTTACCCTGAACCAGAAAGCAACAGGAAGCGGCGGATGCAAGTGCAGACCACAAAGGGGCAGACGTGAAGGACGGTAATAAGTGACGACCAACTCGAGAGGCTTGAAGTCTCACTGAGCGGTAACGACGAAAGAAGGAGAAGAAGAGGAGGGCGGCAAAAGGTGGAGCCCAACGTAAGGGCTGGACGGTTACACATCAAAGTGGCAATTATTTAATAAAGATACATTCTTGTATACTGAACACCCTACGGAAACAGTAAACTAGTTTTAAATGGTTTAAATGTGAGTTCAAAAGAAATTGTTCAGGCTTCCCCTCCTCTAACAGAAAAATCCTGGTGATCTTAGCATACATGTTGATCACTTACAATATTTATTATATTTTTTGGTTAACATACGAGGGTTGGAACTTTAATAGTGGCAACACTGCTGTAGAGATGCCATGCAATGGAACCATATAAGCTTCCGGCCACACTAGGCCCTGGGGTTTACTCAGAAATGAGTACCAGGAATTAATTAAATAATTTTCCTGGGGAGTGAAGCTCAGCCGGCGCGTAAGGCTGCCAGCCTTACCGCCATCTTTGAGCCGATTGTCAAGGTAATGCGGGACCCTTAACGTCTCACAACCCTATGGGCCTTCACGTCCTGTTACAGGGATAGCTTTACTTACTTTACTTTACCACACGTTAGTTACATACCTACTTTACCTCAGAGCAAATGGACTCTCCCTTCCCACATTACGCACATGCGCAGTGACGAGAAGAACAGAACCTCATGTTAGCTGGTGGTCTAATGTAGTGTTGTCACGATGTTTTCGAAACAGGAACAATGGAGTTGGATAAAGATTCAATGTGCCAGAGGCCGTACAGCACGACAGTGTCATTAAGGTCTTCAAGAGGCTTGCGTGGAATCTGCATTGCCTTAAAGAACAGTGGCAAGGTAGGTAAAAGCCTTCAACAAGGGACGCCAAAATGTGGCAGACATGCATCATCCAGGTCGTCCTAGTGTCAGTGAAGAAGAAGTGTATGCTCTTTCTGTGTTACTGGAGAGTGATCCCCGACAGCAGACTGTCAATGCACAGTATCACTGTTCATTTTTGGAACACAACCTGTGACCAGCTTTGAGAAAGAAGCGGCGACACTTTCTGCAGAACCCGCCCATCATTTTGCAGGACAATGTTCGGCCGCATGCAGCACAAGCTGTGGCTAATTTTTTCGATCTTTGGGGCTTGGAAGTGCTGTACCATCCACCATACTCCCCGGACTTAAGCCCTTGTGACTTCTACTTGATTCCTAAGATCAAGGAACCACTTCGTGGCATTCGCTTCAGAACTGTTCCAGAGATTCTTCAGGCAGTAGGCCTATCCATTCGAACTATCAACAAAATAGGCGCTGCTAAAGGTATCCTACAACTTCCACATCGCTGGCAACGTGTTGTACACAATGCTGGTGACAACACTGAAGGGTAGTAAAACTTCAAAACATGCATCTATTTTGTATCAGTTGTAAATAAATGCTTGCCACTATTAAAGTTCCAACCCTCATACATTGTTTGGGTAACATAAATGCACAATTAAAGATTAATGATGAAATATCACAGTTACTATTTTTAGTATCTTACAATCTAAATTACTTACGTTCATTGACTTTAAGCACCACTGTGGCCAGCAGCACACTCCCAGAATCAGTTTTGCACATGTATGTACCACTGTCAGAGACACTGATGTTTTCCAGAATGAAACCAGTTGTGGACTTATATGCAATTCTCATGTCACTATCCTTTTGTTTCCCCAGGCTCAGCTAATTCAGAGGAAATACCAATAAATTCTCAATGAGCATATCCAAATTCTGAAAGAAAACGCCTCCTGAGGCATACTTAATATCATATATATGAAGATTAGTATTAAATAAGGACCATTGCAGCAGATTCTAGACTGATATATGACCTGTGCTGTGTAGGTTCCAGTAGGAAACAGGATACTTACTGCATATAATGTACTAGGCAAGCTGCTGGGATGGGATAGTATTATTAGTAGTAGTATCAGTAACAGCAGTAGCAGTAGGAAGTATATTTTACTAAGGATATACAATTCTGTGTCTAAACAGAGTATAATTTTGAAGTAAAATGTAGGTTGTGAGAAAAGATGGCAGAAGGTTAGAAACTGTACATGTAGTTATTATAATTACTAATACATATATTATTAAATTAATATTAACATATATATTTTAATTACATGCAAGGAGTCCTTTTCCTTCAATTTAAGAAGCTCATATCTGTCTGGGACAGAAGGGAAATGATAACAATTACATTTTTACACAGTTTATTGTATAATGTGTTTATGTCATATTTCTAGTTAATAAACTTTATTTATATTAGTGAAGGCAGAAGATATTATAATGGACTTGTGACATACAATTTTAATTTTAAGGCTGGAATAATATCAGCAAGAAATGACACAGGGCTTCTGTGCTGCCGGTATCTAATTATGTTACCTAAAAAAAGGGTAACAACTAAACAGCAGGAAAATAAATGGGTTACCTCAGGAATAAGGGTATCGTGGAATAGACTCAGGTTTCTTAATAGTTTAATGAAAGAAGGAAATATGCCAGAAGAATTTAAAGAATACTATATGTCGTTACAAAAAAAATACAACAAAGTTATCAGTGAAGCAAAAAAAATACAACAAAGTTATCAGTGAAGCAAAAAAATTAACTAATAACATGCGAATAAGAGCATCAGGGAATAAATCAAAAGCCATGTGGGAGCTAGTTAAGGAGGAACTAGGTAAACAGAAAAAAGCAACGAAGAATATTGAAATAAGCAAGAATGGAGTAAATATACAAGATCCAAAAGCTACAGCCAATGTCTTTAATGAATACTATACCAGTACTGCCCAAAAGGTATTGAGTGGCAACCCATTATCCAAAACCAATGAAGCTAATGTCAATACAGTAAAATATAATAGTAACAGCATGTTCTTAACCCCAGCTACTGAAGAGGAAGTGGCAGGCATAATTAAAGGATTGAGTAATAAAAATCAACGGGAATAGATAATATTCCAGAGTATATTATTAAAAAATGTTATCCTAAAATAACAACTGCTTTGACACATATAACAAATCTGTCACTATCAACTGGGCATTTTCCTGATCAACTAAAAATTACAAAAGTGAAACCTTTGTATAAGAAAGGATGTGATAAATCATACATAAAAGACTTTTATCATTTTTGAATAATCACAGCACAATTAACAATAAACAGCATGGTTTCTGTAAAGGGAAATCAACAAATACTGCAACTGCAGAGTTTATAGAAAGGGTCTACAAATCATTGGATGAGAGGGAAATAAGTATAGGGATATTTCTGGATCTGTCAAAGGCATTTGACTTAGCTGATCATTATATATTGCTAAGGAAGATGACAAGAATGGGAATAAGAGGGGTTGCACTAAAATGGTTTCAGTCATATCTAGAAAACAGGGAACAAAAAGTGGAAATTACATACAGATATAAAGAAACTAATGAAATCACTAACCATCTATTGTGAAAGAGACCCATAAGACATGGAGTCCCACAAGGTTCTGTTCTTGGACCAGTGTTGTTTTTGTTATATATGAATGGTCTAGAAGCCAGCACTGAATATGGAAGACCAACGTTTTTTGCTGATGATACTAGTATTTTTATAACAGGAAATAGTGCTAATGATGTCCAAAAGAAAATAAATAAAACAATAAATGCACTCACAGAGTGGTTTGAAAGGAATAGATTAATTATTAATAAAGAAAAAGCAACAGCAATATCCCTTCATCAACCTCAAAAAGTACAAGTCGAATGCCCATCAATAAAGCTCTATGATACAGTCATCAATTATACAGAACATACAAAATTTTTGGGAGTTTGGTTGGTTAAGAATCTAAGGTGGACTGCACATACTCAACTAGCAAATAAATTATGTAAAATATGTTTTGCCTTACAAGTGGTCAAAAGAGTATCAGGGTTAGAGACTGTTCGCACCTTATATTATGCTTATTTTCAATCCTTGTTATTATATGGATTGATATTTTGGGGAAATTCAGGAAATGCAAAATTGATCTTTAGGTTGCAGAAGAGAACTATTAGAGCTATGATACAAATCCCAAAAACCATTAGTTATAAACAATATTTTAAATCATTACATATATTACCTTTACAATGTCTGTATATATATGAAATTCTAGTTTACATAAAAACCAATTTGAATTTTTTCATAACCAATTCAGGAATACACTTGCAAAATACAAGGAGAAAAGAGGACTTGTTCATAGTGCCATGTAATACAAGTCTACAAAAATCAGTTTCAATAATATTGGACTTTGTATGTTAAATCAGTTGCCACAATATACTAAAGGGATACCAGTGCTATACAAGTTTAAAAAGACTTTGAAGACATTCCTACTTGATCATTGTTTCTACAGTATAAACAAATTTCTCTTGTTTGAGGGCAAATCCTAGTTCTCATCACTTGTAAACATATATTTCAAGAATAATTCACTTTTAAATTTTAATATTAGTAATGTTATAGGAATTCCTACTGCCCTACTCTGTATTTTTTCTTACAGGAACGACATCGAGGATACCAGGGTATTTTGTGCTGGGACAGAAGGATCTGGTCTTGAGGCGTACAGCGGTGTCGTGTGTTAAACTATTATATTAGTTCTATTATTAGAATCATCGTTGTATTATCTTAGTATATTATTATATCATTATATTATTATTATTATTATTATTTATAATTGTAAAGTATTTGACTTGTCCTATATCATGTATAATGATCCATGGATATGAAGTAAATAAATAAATAAATAAATTGAAAGAAATATTTCTACTTTTCAACTGAACAGCTGATGTCACAATACAAATCTTGATCTGTATTTGCAATTACCAATTTTGAACCTCTGTCACGTTACTGGCTATTCTGGCGGAATGTTAATAGTTCTTGTATGTTGTATCGACATACCCACCAGACATTTGTTGAAACTACACTCTGTGCTATAATCTAAATTAATAATATTTTATAACAAGCATAAATCCATCACAAATAAAGCCCAATCTGGGTACTTTAGTCTATGAAATGTTCAGCTTTAAAATAAAGCATCATTTGCTACTCACACTTCTTTCATCTTTAAATAATGTTATCTTGATATCAGGGCTAGTTGGTCGACATGGTAACACCGTATTTCCCTGGAGTTCTGCATTTATGTGGCAAAAACTGTCCATGGCCAGAAGATTTTCATCATCTAAAAATATAATGTAACATTCATTACTAGATCATACTGTGCATTGATGCAGAGAATATTTTGATGGAAAGCAAATGGTTATTTCTTGACCTCCTGGTACAATGTACTGACAAATATTATACTGTTATAGGCCTTTCATGTTTTATGTGACTTCAAGATTTAACATTTAGTAAATGAGTCCCTTGTCATTACTGTATGGCATAATATGTCCTCTGGTTTTGATGGAAAATATGGCCTCCAGACATGAAAATTTTGATGGTTGCAGAATCTGAGTCAATGAAATGGAGATAATCTCAAATATAAAGAAGATAAAGTGGTAAACATTTTAAGAAAAAGAAATGTTAATATGTGAAATATCAAATGAGCTTGAAATGAACATTAAGAACAGAAACACTGAACATGAGCGTGTGTGGGTGTGTGCGCACACAAATGATTTAAGGAGGTCTGTCAGCCTACGCTTAACATAGTTAAACTTGAAAATACAAGTCTGTTCTCATAGCCCAACATTATCCTGAATAACTGTACAGTGATTCTGATCACCATCTTACTAAGGATTAAAAAGATTATGCAGACAAAATTGCATCAGTGTCACTAAGAATTTTTCAAAATGGAGAGGGAAACAGGCAGGTAATTTGCTTACAAAACTGCGTTCACTCTACTTAAGGCTAGCGTTACTGATCACCCAAAGGTATTCAGAACAAAAGAATGATTTTTTAACGGTATTAATTTTTGGTGCTACTATGTGGTATATTTCCTTCCATTTTTCAATTTGTACTTTTATTTTTTTAATGAAGAAGGAAGCAAATGTCTGGCTTCACACTCCATACTGATAATACCAATGCTGAAATATGTATGGTTTTGCTACTAAAATGTCAGCCTAGTTTTTTATTTTTATTTTTATTTTTTTTTTGGTTATTTGTAAGAAATATACAGTACATTGATACGACTGATGTGAAAACCTCAATTCTCACCCACCAACCTCAAATGAGAGTGATAAACATCGCTGACAGAGACTGACCTTTCACATAAATATATTTGCTGTGTACACCTTCCATCTGAAGTCTACATTCTGCAGTGTCATTGCTGACACAGTAATAATATCCTGTGTCAGCATATTGTACACCCTTTATGATCAATCTCGTCTTATACTTGTTCCCTGTTGTGTGAGAAAATTCCACGTCACTTTCTGCTTTATCTGTCTGAAAGAAAAGATCAGCTTTAGGTGGCTTTGTTAGTAAAAATATGAATTTCATACACTGTTATTCTGATATAAGACTTTCCTCAAGTGTGGAATTCCTTCAGAATCTACAACTTTGTGGGATAAGCTAGGAGCTGTATAGGAGTCAAATATGCTTCTTTAAAAGCAAGTGCAAGTGCAAGAACAAATATCCTCTAACTCTGTACATTAACCACACAATTTTCTGACTGTACAACACAAAGGCTTGCAGAACAGAGTGAACATATGTGTTGACAATTATGAGTATTTTGAGAATAGCTGGCTTTCCTTTGCTTTCAGTTGTTTTATATATATATGGGATCAACAACAAATTTCCCATTACTTTATATTTCATGTTAGCTTCAATATATTTCAGCATTTTAAGGAATGAAGACATCGTGAGTGTGACTGCCAGAAAAAGATAAAAGTATGAATATTTCTGTCTTCTGGGATGTAATGCCACATAGTCTGTTACAAGTCAACTGATATTTTGGAGGAACATGTCACCTCCATTTTAAGGGTCAAAGAATAAGCCAAACAAGAGCTCTATTTGCCACCTGCTTTCACGCTTGTTTCTTCCCAGATGACAGAACTCTTCATAAACTTCACTGTGAGGACCTTGAATCCTACATAATGATAAAACTTTGTTTGTTTAATTCTGGTCTGTCACACTAATATTATGGAAAAGTTAAATACGTGTAGTTCTGTCCATTGTGACTGGTTAAGAGTTTCTTATTTCAATTATTCATGCCCTTACATGTTTCGGTCTTCAGAGACCATCTTCAGAGGGACACCTTTACATCAATACTGTTAGAAGCCACCAATACAGTACATGTTCTAAAAGTTGAAATATATACATACAATATAAACAATATACAATTGATTGTAAAATCTAAAGTCTTTACAACTACAGCAGCTGTTCCAATACTTTAAAATACACGTATTTATAGTTAGTTTGTTAAGATTCTATTGGAATTCGTAAACCAGGCTGGTTCGTGTCATCCCTCATGTAAGGGCATGAATAATTGAAATAGGAAAAACTTAACCAGTCCCACTGGATGGAACTACTTAACTTTTTCATAATGATAAAACTGTTTTCATTAATTTTCCTATAACTTCTTTGCCCAGAACCTAAATCTGATATTAATAGACCTGTCCTTCTAAAAGAACCATCAAGATCATTAACAGCTTGAGATAATGTCTGATTATTTTTAAGAGTAAAGTATGCAGTTTCAGAGTACATGTCTTCCTCAAGGCTTCTATAAGCATTTCTTCTACTGTCCTGTTTTGTAATATGTGTACATATGGCAACCCTTGGAGGGAGGGAACTGTTTGAACTGAAGAAAAGCATCAGTTATTCTAGTCTACAATCAGTTTTCCTCAAAGTTACACAAGATTTTTCCTTTTTCTTTTATGAAATCACAAATTATTTCCAGTTGTCACAAAATGATGAAAATTATCATCTGTAATTTATACATCACAACAAATTAGAATTCACTGAATAAATTCACACAGTGAAATTCTGCTCGTTTTTAGACTTTTCCCACTCAAATGTATGTCACCATTATCATCTACAATCATCATTTATCTTTAAGTTACTTAACCACGCTGTCAATAGCCCTTGGCTATAATAATGTCAATAGATGGGGATGATTAATGATTAATGAATAAGAAATGGTGTGGAAGGAAGTGTCCATGACATAATTTAGACTGTGTTCCTGCATTTGCATGGAGAAACTGAGGAAAACGACAAGAAACTTCAATCAGGATAGCTGGTGTCTGGGACTGTATCAGAACCTGTGAACTACCAAATACAAAGCAGGAATGCTAAACACTGGACAATATCACCATTATTATTATTATACTATCATTACCCTCATGCATCAGTTTAATTATGCTTTTTCACACCTCAAGCTCCATGCTATAGAATTATGTACTTAATGCAAATTATTCTATTTTGGTTTTTTATTTTTGTTTTCTGTGTGCATTTTTTGTTTCTGTATAAAATGTTGGTGGTATGTAGTTGCTATACAACAGGGTCTTGAGCTTATCTGAACAAATAGAAAATATGAAGCCTTCACTTAAAAGCCCTTCAAACAAAAGACCACTTTTTCTGTGGAAATTAGGGGACAAGATAAATTATACAGATTGAAAAGGAAGGGACACAACACATCAGTTTAAGAATTACTGCTCTTCACTGAAATCTTGTAGCATATTCCAACATATTTATATCTATGTAGACTGGCTTTCAGGAAGTGTAGTTTCTCTTTATCCTCCTGTGACCAGCAGGAGTAGTCTGTGTTTTACCATTTAATAAACTTTCTGCACACAGCCTTCCATTCAAATATAGGTTTTATTATTAATAAAGATGGTGATATTTTCCTTAAAGGCACAAAACTTCATTATATGAAGACTGCAAGCTTGTAGCTGAAACATTTGTTATTTTCCTGAAATAAATATTCTAGACATGGCAAATTATTCCATTTGCTGAAATTTTACACAGTGTAAAGATTTCGCTGAATTTGGATATACACTCAACTCTCGATTATCTGGGGGCGGATTAACCGGTTTGTGGCTTAACAGGGGCTACCGGGGCTTTTCTGAGGCTTATATGTTGCTTAATATTCATTCACTTTGTTTCACATGCTGAGTTGTAACACTATTTTCGCACTAGTGTGAACCGAGCTCAGTATTTTTTGGTCCCGTTATGCTAACACAGTGTTCTAGGGTAGGGGTGAAAGAATGCAAGGATTTGTGGAAAGTTTCAAGGACAGATACACCGCCCCAGTTAGCCTCTTTGTACCGATCTTCAGGTGCGTTAGCAAAATGTCAGGGTGTAAAAGGAAGCGTGTTGTGTTAAGTATTCAACAGAAACTCGTGTGAGCCGGGATTCGAAATGTTAAGCAGTGACGAAACCGTAAGTTCAGTGGGGGTGCAGTCAGAAGAGCGGGAAGAAAGTGAGAATGAGGAAGAGGTGGACATTGCTGCTAGTAAGAAAATATCACATGGTGCTGCTCTTAATCATTTGGAATCCTTACTAGACTATCTTGAGAGTGAAGAGAACAGTTTATTAAGTGACAAGCTAATATTACGTAGGCTTCGTACGGATATCCTAAAAAAGGAAAATGCTGCGAAAAATTAAACGACAATATTAATTTTTTTAAGTGTTAAGTATGAATATTTGTAAAAAGTGTTGGATGTTGTTGAACACTCTGATTGAAATAACTAATTCATACTTCAGTGCAATGTAAAAAGAGTATTAAATAGCCTATGAGATGACATAAAAATGAGGTTGAATAAATTTAAATACAGGTATGCCTATAGTATTATGAAGGTACAGTATTACAGTACTACTTTTAATAAAATTTGTCTGAACCGCGTTTTCGATTAATCGTGATTTCCATCCCCACCATTACCCCGGATAATCGAGAGTTGAGTGTATTTAATTTAACGATTCAAATATATATTTTATGCATATCTGTCAAGCATATGCTATATTCGGGTAAAAGCAATTTTAATTAAATGCAATGAACTTGTATGCTAATTTGTGCCAGGCAATGATTTGATTTGAACAGGTTTAACAAACCATGCACTCATCACTGTAAACCCTGGGATAGCACCAGTGCACAGGGAATTCTTCCTTGCAGTCTAGTTCGATTGTTTCCCCTGCAGTTGTAATCTGTGTGTCATCTTCCCAGCCTGCATGTAAAGACACACACATCAATAGGAACAGTGTTATTATGGATTTCACAGGTTGACTTTTCAACATATTCAGAGAAATGATGTTTCATCTTCATTAACACTAGTAGTAATGAATATAATATTACATCACCACCTCTACACAAGCCGGAAGGTCACAGGATCGAATCCTGATGAGGTCATTGAAATTTTTTTCAATTTACCTAATCTTCCAGCTGCACTATGGCCCTGGGGTCGACTCAGCCTCTAACAGAGACGAGTACCAGGAATATTCTTGGAATATTCTTGGGGGTAAAGGGCAGCTGGCACATAAGGCTGACAACCTTGCCGCCATCTATGAGCTGATTGTCTAGAATCTATGTGTAGATAATGTGGGACCCTCAACATCTCACAATCCTATGGGCCTCCATGGCCTGTTACAGGGATACCTTTACTTTACTTTTACTTTTTTACATCTAAATACATGTAATTATCAGAGCACAGTCAAATTACAACATCAGGTGTTATTTACCATTTATATTAACTTCATTGGTGAACAAGCACACATTAGGTGCACTTTTCATCGTTTTTCTCTTTGCGAAGAAAAATTACTTATTATTTCTCTACTTGCGAGTGTACATCACATATTCACTTTGCCAGTAACTCTTTCATGTTTAAGATATTTGGTGGGTGGTCTAAAATACCAAACTCGACAGTTATGCCTATTTATAATCTGTGACATTGAAGGTGTTGCTTCATCAGAAAACACGATTTCTCTCAAAGTTCATCATCAGACTCATTTTTGAGAAATCTGATAAAGCTCCTTTTAAGACACATGTAAAGTAGGGATTATACTAGAATGATACAAACCAAAATTGCACTCGCCCAATAAATCTTAATGTATCCTTTAATACCAAATTTCCATTGGCATATTTAAGGGGGAGCGACCGGGGCAGTCACCCCGGAGCCTCCGCAAACTAGAAACAGAATCAACAGATTTTATTGAGATATCTGCTTCTCTAGGATCACGAAGTTTGTATTTCTGTTTATTGTAAGAAATAATAGAAAGAAATCAATTATGATGGCCTGAATTTGTATTACTGATATGAGTCTCAATATTCTGATTCCCCTGAGGCCCTCACAACTGTAAAAACGTCCCTGAAAAATTAATCGAAATGCTTTCAGTAGTTTCAGAGATGAAAACACGCAAAGAGAGGAACACAATCGATCTTATATGAATTATCTTCTTTCGGTGCATACAAGGAATGCATTACATATCAAATAAAGACATTTCAAAACTCCCAGTCCCTTAAAAGGGTCACAGATTAATACAGTTTAAAACAGATATTGAAACTGTAAAGCAATTATACTATAAACATGCTCATACATATTATCATAACTCAATTCAAAAATATCGAGGAAATTTTGAATAGGACCTAAATGGAACAAATCAATTGACTTATTGCTGATGCAGCAGTATAAATGGAGTGGCAGAACACGGAAAATGTAATGAAATAAAATAGAAACATTTATACAAATAACAGAAAAGTGAGTGGCAAAAAGTAAAATCATCGGTTGTAAAGAGACTGCAGACAAGACGGAGGGCAGCTGTTGGTCAAAGACAACCCCTCAATGTACGGGCTTGGGACCTTATGATATATGGCACATAAACTTAAAGGCTTGATACACATAAATACGGCTTTGCTTTCTAAAGAGTTAAGGTGAAGGAAAAATACTTTCTAAATATTTTACTCTTTTCCGATTACCAAATTATTACCCGGAAAGGGAAGATCAACAGAAAATCATCATAAATCAACAATATCTTGGTGGCTAATTTGATGTGAAATGGCACATATAGGATAATACCCTTTACTGCACAATATGTTTACCTTCCATTAGGTTAAGTTGCAGAATAAGTTTCACGTTTTGACTACTTGAGCTGTGACATTTCTCTTACAGCTGACCGTGAGAAACTAAAATAAATTGGTACCGTATCAAGGATCTTGTGGAACGGTAAAAACAACAAACTAGGAAGAGACGTAGCTCAAATTTTGTGAAGTGATGGTAGCTTTCGCTGTTTTATACTGAAATGAAACTTTTATTGGGATGAACAAAAGTGTTAATGCAAGCAGACGAAATAACACATTTTATGAAGTGTCAAAGTTTGTGCCAGATTAGAGAGAATTAAAAGTGAAGATGGGGGCAATAATTTCCTCCGAAACGGCACCTAACTTCCAGACCGTACAGCATCACATCCATGAACGGAACCTCAATTGCCGTGGGGCCGCGCCATAGCTCAAGCGGTTCCCACCGCGGCGACCCGGGTTCGATTCCGGGCCTGGTCAAGTGGGATTTGTGGTGGACAAAGAGCACCTGGGGTAGGTTTTCTCCGAGTACTTCGGTTTCCCCTGCCAATCTTCATTCCACCAATTGCTCCACAATCACCCTCACCTATCATCTGGGGCTGGTACAATAGGCCAGAAGTGGCAGCAGTACAAGAGACTTACATTGCCGCGAGAACATAAAATATGAAAATGGATGTATGGAAGGAACCAAACATGCAGTCAGTAAACAAAAGAATAGTGGTTGCAAAGGCAGACTCAGCAACAGAATAGAGAGCTGGGCTATAGGAAGTCTATGGGAAGATGACATTGAAGTCTAAGCAGGCTCGAATATAATCCGTTAAGGGCTGAAGAAGAAGAGTATGATATTTAGCTGTTAGGAAAACGCCCAAACTCACAAATCCCTGCCTAGATTTGAGACCACGATCACGTGACTGATAAGATTTGTCAAAAGCAGTGAGCTACCGAGCATGACTAGTATGTTGATTGCTATGCATAATCTAAATGACTCCTGTCCCTTATTAGCACAACCAATTTTTACCTTTAACAGTTACGGTCTTGTTTCTGTGGGGCGCCCTCTCTGACGAGAGGACGGGTCTGCCTTTTGTATGTGCTGCTGGCCCTTGCCAGTGCAGTCTTATTCGGGTCCGAGTCCCTTGGGACTCGAGACCATATTTTACTGTCTCAGATTTGAGACTTCCCCTTTTGTCGCCTCCTACGACTCGCAGGGTCACGGTGGAGGTATTCGACCCCGCCTTCGCACGGGGTCTGACTACAAACGACTTTCATTGTCCCCTATGGACCTTCGACACGGACCCCACAGAAAACACTTATTATTGTAGACGATTACAGTTCTGTTGCTTAGCACTGGGCATGGCGTGGACCACACTGAAAACAAGTCACGTGATAGCTATATTACCAATTATTGGCGCTCTGATTATTGCCTAGCAACGAGCTATAAACATTCGTCCTAGTGTTGCGTGACCTACAAACGTGCTGTTTACCAAGAATCTGTCTTCGCGGGAACTTGTTTACCAACCTGTTGCCTAGCAATGGGTGTACATATAACACTATCATCTAATAAATTCTGAGTAACTTACGGGTATTTATTTTCAGTTTGACTTCTCAAAACAGGAAAGTGTGTTACAGTCGGGGCATAAAATTCGCAAAATTACGATATATTATATTTGTCCTGAATGCAGAACTCTTACAGAAAACTACTATATTTTGGAATTTATAAATGTCTATGCGTAACAAAATTCCATATGATGGTGGTTACACTGGCAAGGAGTGTGATTTCCGCACTGCTTCACGCCCGCCAGCGGGAAAGCCTGCAATCATACGTCATATTTCCTTTCCGGGAAAGACACAACACTCCTTGCCATGACTTGACACATCCGCTCAAACATAGCTCTGTATGGGAAATTAATTCTTACTCGTACAAATCAGTTACGTATCGTACAATAATTTCAGTTTTTAATATTTGATCTTATTAATTTAATTTCCTTATGCCTTACGCTGTGGAACAGAAATATATCTTGCTCTTGCCGAGAATCGAAGCCCATAGCCCGTTTCTATACCGACTCAAGTATCCCGGCTCCCACCTGTGGTAGTAGATTTTCGGAAACTACATATTTATTACCATTTCGTGAAATATTAAAGGAAATGGCGTCTGGGGAAGACAGCATCTGTCTCTCGGCTGTATGGCGACACCTGACAGAACATATCAGGCGGACTAGTGCAATTGTGCATAGGCTAAGGAGATATCTGACGAAGCTATCAGCAGTTGGAATATACAGAATCGAATGGTAGGAAAACAAATGAATAATGAATTTGAATGAGTCTGGTATGAAGTTATCGTGCTCCAGCATTTGGCTAGAGGGACCGAGAAGAACCAAGAAGACCTCAGTGAGGATAACCGGTGTCCCGGCCGAGATTCGAGCTGAGAATGTCCCAAATACAAGTCTAGAACTTTATAGCTACACCAACCCGTTTGGTCGAAGTTCTGTACGGAGACAGATCAGAACCATACCTTGAACTATACAAACGAACATTGTAAGTTAAAGCGATTACGAACATGGTAAACGCGCTATAATTGAGGCTAAGAGTATTTAAGAAATAATATGGGTCCAAACGGATATGTAAAAGTCGTCAAATGGACCAAAAACGAATGTAAAGTTTAAACTGTAGGTCTACTGATGAAAGTTATAAACAAAAATATGTAAATACCCATTAGTTCTAAAACAAAAAACAAACTCCGTGGCATGTAGTCCGCAAATGAACTATACCGACAGAGCGGTCGGCGAAGTTAGTGCCCAGTTCTGGGGATAGAGGGTGTCACGTGGTCAACGCAACGAATCCCCACGGCCGTTAATTTCGGTTTTCTAGACCGGAACCGCTCTTTCCTTGAAATAACTCCTCAATTATCCTCACGAGGCTGAGTGAACCCCGTTCCAGACCCACTATTTCTCAGAAAATCTGGTAGCGCCGAGAATCCAACCCGGGACCTCTGCATATGTAGCCAGGAACTCTGACCTGTAGACCACAGTGGCGACATTAATTTGCAAACTGAAGCAACAACCTCTCGTTTATATTCCAGGTTTATGCTATTTGCTATGAAGGTAAGGTGAAGTCGTCCCTGTCCTTAACTAATTTAGCACTATGTCATGACGACGTGTG